AGTGATGTTGTTTGAATGACAGAATCTGGGTGTCAAGGCATCTTGTAGCTTTCACTCATCCTCTCGAAACACTGCCCTGAGAATGCCATATAATGAATCCAGTCCAGCTTATGGGAGGATGATAGGTGTTGTGAAGAACCAAGGTTCTCCAGCCAACAGCCTGCTGTCAGATATCTGAGGGGATCTATCTAGTTTCTGCTGAGTTTCCAAATAACTGCATGTATAAGAATGGCCCCTAGCAAGACCTTTAGAACACCTATTAAGTGAACCACAGCCCAACTGTAGACCCACAAAATCACAAGCAAGTAAATAACCCTTGTTTAAAGCCATTACATTTGGAGTGTTTTAATGCAGAGATAGAAAACTGAAGTAACAAATACACCTGCCAAGTAGGAAACCTGGGTTTGACCCCTGGGTTAGGAAGATCTCCTGGAGAAGGGCTTGGCAACCCACTCCAATATTCTGGCCTGGGAAATCCCATGGACAGAGGAGTCTGGCAGGCTACAGTCTATGGGGTTGGAAAGAGGTGGACACAGCATAGCGACTAAACAACAAGAAGGTATCTAAGGTATCTAAGCAATAACTGCAAAAAGTTTTTTTTCCAGTATGCCTCTTTGTCTTGCAGCCTGAAACAATTTATATAGCTCAGGCAGGACCACCTCATCATGTTACATAAATTAAATCATAAAGGAGCTTGGTTTAGTGTTTTTAAAAAGGTCCCTGGGCCTCCATTTCCACACATACAGAAGAAATACATTCAACTAGGTACTTCCAATGATTATTCTAGGCTCAGAGTTCTTTGATTCTAAGAAATTCGAATACAGTAAACTGATTTCTTCTACTCCTTAATTAGAGAAGACAGAAAAACATTTCTCACCTTTACTCCTCATACATCTAAGACTAAGTTAAATAACATTAACTATGGGCTAACTGCCTTCCTATCTAGAATTTCCATTAGGTTCTTGGACAGAGAGAGAGCGCAAGGCACAGCTAAATGAAACACAGGCTTTGGAGCCTGACATACTTGGATTATAATCCTGGCTCTATTTCTTTCCAGCTGTGTGGCCTTCATCTGTTTCCCTTCTGAGCCTGTGATCCTTACCTTAAAAATACTGTGTATAACCATACATACTTGGCAATTATTTTGATGAGAAAAGCATATATACAAAAACAGCTAGAATAATAGTAGGAGCACAATGGAAAAAAAAATTTACAATGATGAATGATGAATCATATTGTATTACAATATAGTACATGAAATAATAATCAGATAACAGAACTGTATTACAAATTATATTTCCCCTTTTTATATTGTACTTATTTCAGATTATATTCATGACTTCCAGAAATTTAAACAATTCTTAATTCTGATGTTTAAACTACCACATTAAGGAAAAAGGAATGTTTGATTTTATAAGCAGCTTTTGGCAGAAAAGAGCTGTCTGCAGGAGTCTCCTCGTGTCTTGTCACTAACTTTAAACCAGGCACCTCCAAGCTCTACTCATCACTGGCCTGAGCACATCTTTCACACCTTTTGATCATACAATACCTTGTCTAACTTTTGGTTCTTTCCATAGATCAAAGAAGTAGAAATGAAGAATAAGTAATTAACAGATGACCAGGTCTCTTCTCTAGCTTTGCTTTCAGTAACCTCATGAAAAAAAAAAAAACCGTGTGAACAAACTGTGTGGACAAGGTAATATCTAAACAAAGACCACAAGACGTCACCAAGCCCACAAGTAGTGAAGGATGGCCAGGACTCTGGCACCCCATTCCAATGATTAACTGAGATTATTTCCCCTTTTCCCTTAAAAATGTCATGACCGAGCAGAATTGTCAGAATTGCTTTTTGGGGACGTGAGTTATCTGTCTCCCCAGATTGCTGGCTTTCTGATTAATAGCAAGTGAGCTTTCCTGGTGGCTTAGATGGTAAAGAATCTACCTGCAATGCAGGAGACCTGGGTTTGATCCCTGGGTTGGGAAGATCCCCTGGAGGAGGGCATGGCAACCCACTCTAGTATTCTTGCCTAGAGAATCCCATGGACAGAGCAGCCTGGTGGGCTACAGTCTATGGGGTTGCAAAGAGTTGGGCAAGACTTGAATGATTGACACTTTTACTTTCTGTGGAGCCCTATACCAGGGCCACAGATATGGAGCCCCATACCAAAGTCATCTCCAGAACTGACTGAGCCACATAGCAATCACTGCTGTGAGACCCCTCGCCCCACCTAAACTGGCCAGCTCCCTGACCCCATATTAGGTAAAAATACCCACCCTAATAAATCACCTAATGCCACCCTTCCAGCAGGAATTTTCTTTGTCTTGAGCCTATAAAAATTGGCTACTAACGCACAAAAGGGATCAGCATCCCTTGGTCTGTCAGGAGGTCGACCCACTGTGCTTGCAGTACCCTCATTACCTCTGTTTTTTGTCCTATCTTTGCCTGGAACACTCTCCCTTGAATGTGTACCTCACTCACTTTCTCACTTCCATCAGCTTTCTCAAGTATTTGCTTAATAGAAAAGATTCATTGACCCAACTTCAGGCAATCATGCCTTCATTCCTGCTCACTCCCTCTTATCCTGCTTTCCTGTTCTCCATAACTGTGCTTCTCAAAATTCAGCATGCAAATGAATTACCTAGGGATCTTATTAAAATGTAGATTCTGATGCACTGGGTCTGGAGTGGGGCCTGGCATTCTGCATCTTTAACAAGTGCCCACTTGATATCAATCTGTGGACTGAACTCTGTAACTGTGAACAATATTGAGACAGTATTTGTTTTCTTTATTTGCTCATCCTGTTTCTCTTCCAGTCGGGGTACAGCTGAACTTTGATTAACACTGGGGTTAGGGCTGACTTACTGCACAGTTGAAAATCCAGTCTGCTCTGTGTATTCATGTTTCTGCCATTTAGGCAGCTCCTTCACATGCCACAGGTTCAACTCACCATGGATCATGTAGTACTGGAATATTTATTATTGAAAAAATTCTGCACACATAGTTCAAACTCATGTTGTTCAAAGGTCAACTAGAAGGGTTTCATGAGGGGAGGGGACTTAACTTACTCTATGCCACATTCTCAGCACCTAGTAAAATGTTCAATACATAGAAGTTATTCAATAGATATTAAGTAGATGAATTAAATATGTTTCTGGAAACCAAAACTGGAACTTTGAATCTATTCTCCAACAGAACTGTTATAGTAACATCTCAGAACTTTACAGGTTAAATAGATTTCTGTGCCCTGCCTTTCAAAACTTCCAACCATGTGAAAGTAGCTTAAATAGGAGCATAAACCCATAATTATGTCAGAGTTCAATAAAAACAAATCATTGGAACCCAATCTCTTTACAGAGTTAGAGAATCTGAGACTGAATATCAGGAGAAAGCTAGAGAACAAATACCAATAAATGATTATATAGGGACAAACTATGCATGTGTGCTGAGGGAACCAAAAATTACAGGTCATAAAAAGAAATAAACTTGATATAATTAATTGAAGATAAACACTGATAGAGCAATTTTAGTGTCCCAGATTGACCAAAAACAAACAAGCAAACAAACAAACAGGAAAAAGAAAGAATGCTCACACATCTTTTTAAAGTATCTGATATCAAATTTAACTCTAATGTCTTCTTAGAAACCCCAGGGGTACAAAAGAGGCACTGTTCCCAGATTGTAGAGCATCTTTTAACTTAAGTGCTGTTTATGCCTTCTACTGAATTATCATTGTGCTACCTTGGGTGATCTTTCCATTGTGATATATTTCTAATTGATATGAAATAAAAATCAACTTTACTTTAAGAACCATAGTCAAACACTGCAAATATCTGATCTTTGAAAAGTAGAAAAGGAAAAAAAAATGAAAGCAAAAAACAAGAACAGGAAAAAAAAAGATGTTTCTGAGTTCTATCTAATTATAGAATTGGTATAGCAGAAAATTTTTTTGGCTCCTTGCCCATGGGGCTCAAAGCCAGCCTTAACATTGCCATGAGATTTTATGCATACCTTCTACTAAGAAATGAATAGAAGGTGAAAAAGAATAGACTGAAAACATGCAGTAAAAACAAAAGTTAAAACTATAGCTAAATGAAGAAACATTTTTCCCCCAAGTCTACTTGGTGGTAGTCATGGTCCATTTTCCTTTTTCTTGAGCTAAAAATGGAAGAGCTCTTAAGATTGTTTTCAGATGGAACAGAGGGAAGTGCTAGGAGGACTGTGTGTATTTCTGTGGTTTGGGGAATTTTTATATTTTTGGTAACACTGCGTGACTTGCAGGATCTTAGTTCCCTGACCAGGGATTGAACCTGTGCCCTCTGCAGTGAAAGCACAGGGTCTTAACCACTGGACTGCCAGGGAAGTCCTTGTGTAGGCATATTTGAATAAGATTATCTAAAGGATATAGGATTCATTGAGATGGGGTCCTTACATATTTAGTCTTGGAGGCTCTACCCTGACTCCCTCTTCAGGAACAACACACCTATCCCTTGGACTGGAAGCACTGATAGTTGATGGTATTCCTTACTGAGAATTGCCTTTGGCCCCAGAAGACTCTTCTAAGATCTCCTATTCCTTCTAGTGGGCAGCCCCTGGACAAACGCTGGCTGGTTCAGGAATACAAAGGCCAAGCTCTGTTCCTGCAATTCAGGAGGGCTCTGGACAACCCACTCAGCCCTAAGGCTCCTGTGGAGTGGGCTGAGGCCTCTTGCAGTCAAATCACTCTGCAGACCCTCAGGCCCTTCTGCTATCTCTGCTATGGGTCTTTCTTCACTGTAGGTACATTTCTGGAGAGCACACTCCTAAATACTTTGGTGACTCCATACGCCCAATCAGTCTCTTTCCAAGGAACCTAGCTCTAAGACATTTTGCATTGTAAATAACCCAGGTTTATTCCTATTTTCAGCATTGCAACTCATTTTCCCTTTAACCCAAGGAGCATCTCACTGTTGTGATTTTGAGCAAATGTCCAAAGCCACAGAGAATGATCCAGCATACTTACGTGCTCCAATTGCTGTCAATCCAGGGGCTGGACCAGGCCACTTTGCCCTCAGCTCTTGAAGTAAGTGGGTTACCGCCTTCCACTCCGAGCTCAGATCTTCTAACTTCCTCTTTAATAGAAAAGCATGCATGTTATGTATTCGATTAACATCTTGCAGTAACTTAATTCACCAAGTTATTAATTTATTTTGTGAATACATTATTGTATTTCTATTGTGTTTTACTTCTAAATTAACTTTTCTAGGTGGAATTCCTTTCAAAGGTATTTTAATTAAATACTTCAACTAACCTCACTACAAATTTTTATTGATTGTTTGCTGCATACAGGCTCTTGCTCCAGGCACAATTTCATTGAAAGGACGTAGAGTGCAAACATTATTGAAAGCAAAACAAATAAACAAAAAATGTCATCTCAGCAATTGGCTTGACTGTTTTAAATAGTATCTAGTGTGGCTGCATACCAGAATTTTCCAGAGGACATTAAAAGTATCTTATTGCCCTGGCTCACCCCAGATCAATCCTATTAGCAACACTTGGAAGGAGGGGCTGAGGTACACATGGAGATAAGCCTCTGAGTCCACTTTAAGGAAGGACTCTTTTCCCAAATGGTGAAGAAGATGCCAGTAGACATCCTTCAAGTGTCAGGCGTCAGTTCTTTCTGGGACTGTCTGCTGTGGTGATCTGCCTTGCCTAAGGACTCGCCCTTCCCAGGGTAGCCCTTATTCAAAGACTGATCAAGGTGAGAGTATAAAGGCTCAGCAAATTTGGTTCAAAGCAGGACCATTTTGAGGGTCATTTTAGCTGCAGTAGGGTCAGCCAAGCCTGTATATGGTCAGTGATGTGTATATGTTAACAAGTGGCTCTGGGGAAAACAAAGAAACAAATTGATTTTAGTGTTTGCTAATTTCTGTGGTGTAGATGGTCCAACTATAGCCAATTTTAGTTACCAAAAGAACGTCAAGTAGCTCACAAAGTGCCTGAAAATTTGCTAATAGGTCCTCAGGAGCAGATCTAAGCCACTTCCAGTGTAACACTGGATAATCATAAGATAACTTACTGCCAGTAGAATGTGAGGAGAGGTAATATCTGTCAGTTCTGGGCTGATCCTTATAAAAATTGAGTGAGGTTTCCCCATCCATTCTTTCCCTTTCCACTAGCTGGAAGCAGAACACTCAAAGGTCCCAGGTCAAATTTTCTCAATGGATTGGGGGGATAATTTATCATAATACTTTGGAGCAGTGGTTCTTATATGTTGGGGCCATCAGAATCACCTGGAAGTCCTGTTAAACCACTGATTGCTGGCTTTCAACCTCAGAGTTCTAGAGTCAACAGATCTTGGGTGGGGCCCAAGAACTGACACTTCTAACAATTATCCAGTTGATGCTGATGTTGATTGTCCAGGATCAGAACCTAAGGCATCCATTATAAGCAATGAATTACCTAGCCATCTACAATGGAGTAGATATGTATCATCCTTGATAAAAATAAGAAAATAGGTCTTAAATCATTTTCTATAGGACTTAATTTTCTTGAAAAATCCCACTTAAGCAAAGCTGCTAAGGGAATAAATACTAAAATAAATAGTAAAAAGTTATCACTTCCTATTTTAACTATCATCTGTGCTCTTAAGGTTATTTATTCTATTATGTCCGACATCATGTCAAGTCAGGGCTTTTAATTTCCTCTCTCAGAGTACATGCTGTTAAACATTTACTATCACATCAATGAATATTATTTCTTTTTACTTATTAAAACATAAGCCTTGAATCCAAAAGTGAACAAAAAAAAATGCTTCTGATCAGTGAGGGAAAACTACCATTGAAAGTCATGACATGTGGAAGGTATTTTTCTGTTCTGACATCCGAGCTAAACATTGAGAATCAAATATTATCTAAGGCTGGTGAATTAATATATACATGTATTTGGTCTTTTGATTCCCCTGCTAAATGGCAGTGAGTTCACAGGGAAAGAATAATAAGAGGAACTAGAAGTAATCGAGTTGATAACAACAACAACAAATAGCAATAGATAATAGGGAAGAGACAAGAAATGTAAAAGTAGCTATCTGAAAACATAATGATCTTGGGTCACTTATTGAAGGGATAAGGGTGCAGCAAATGGTCTCATACATTATATAACCTATAGGAAGTCACCTGTATATGCTGAGAGACAAAGAGGGAGAGAGGAAGAGAGAGGGGTTAGAGACTGACTTACATACTGCTGAGATCTGCCCACTCTTACACTCAGTAAGCATATGGCCCCATAGTGAGTAGGCGAGGAGAGATGGGAATTTGCTGTTTCTACAGTTGGCTTAGGTTTCACTTTCTTCTCATGGTGTAAGCATCTCACTGCACTGAGTTAGATTTTAAATATTTAAAGTATTTATCTAACATCCTGCCTCTGAAATAAAATTAACTATTTCATCTGGGTCTCAACTGAAGACACAGTGATCAGTACTGAACTTCATATTCCATGTGCACAATGAAATTGAGCAGGACCCTGTGGGGATCCTGGGCACAAAAACCTTTCTCTGTCCCTCATTTCTTGTTGGTAGGAAATAGGCTTCATTCAGCCTCCATGACTTTCCCTGTGTTCCAAAGGTCAGGTTTGAACAGTTGCTAATCAGGAAAGAGAGGGGATAATCAGGAAAGAGAGGGGATGCAAAGACAATGGAGGAGCAGTCAGGAAAGATCAGAGCAGCCTTGAAGCAGGCTCTTTGTTCCACCGCAGGGGATACACGTAACAATATCTTTGAGCTCTTCTGCAGAACTAAAACCTCCAACAACTGGAAGATGTTAACTACTTGATGAAGCATTCTTCATTCCAGAGACAAGGTTTGATAACCTCAAGATCCACAGAAGCTCATCAGGAGACCCCTGAGGCCAGATTAAAGAAATGCAGGCCTTGCACACACCCTTATCTTTATCAGCAGCCCAGCTCTTGAACCATTTCTATAAAACTCCTCACCCAATCCCCCCACATAGGGACACACAGTTTTGCCTGGCAAAGCAATAAAGCTAATCTCTTTTAGGTCACCCAAAACTCTGTCTCTGAGATTCAGTTTGGCACCCATGCAGAGAAGCTTTTTCAGCATCAGGTAACTGTACAATGAAACAGAATAATAATTAATGCTTATAATGATGACCCTGAAAACTAAGAAAGTTTTAAATTACACTATGTTTTAGTATCCAAAGTCCTGGATTTCAGTCCTAACTCATTACTACTGGTTTTGTGATCACTAGCAAAATCAGGTAGGTCAGTCAAATTCATCATCCTTGAAACATGTATATAATACTACCACCTAACTCATAGCTTTGTTGGATTAACTAAATGAGATCTTTTATATGAAAAGAACTCTGTGAACTGCAAAGTACTATAAAATTGTTGATTAGTTATTATGCACTGCTTAATAAAGCAAAACAGAAGATAGTCAATAAAAGTTTTCATTAAGATAGTTAAAATGAAACTATTTCAATGCGTAAAAGATTTGGTTTAGGTTATCCTGAAAATTACATGTTTATACATTCAATTCTCTTTTATTAATACATAAAACTCTGAATGGTCTATTCATTTATTAGAATGTTATTTTGCCCATTGTTTTTTCCAGATGGGTAAATAAGGTATTTATATAATTTCAGATGTAGAGATTTTAAAAATTAAGTAGTAGCCCCCAGTGTACCACAAACATCTGATACCACAAAGAAGCTCCAAAGTGTATGTTACCCAATCTTTCATAAATAGCAGCAAATGACATCATAAAATGGCTATAGACTTTGATTCAGCTGGTCACAAAAACACTTTTGCAACTTTTCAAGTACCTGTTGTACTTAGAGTTGAAATTGACTATATATTATGGATAAATATATATATTATTCATATATAAATGTATATTATTTGTTATAGTTATACTATTGGTATAAATATATTCTTATTAAATTGATTATTATATTTATTATTATAAATATAATAAATAATATATTTATTATATATAAATTTACATGCTTATATATAATAAATAATATATATTATAATATATATATATTATTTTTTATTTGGTTTTGTTTTCCTTTTTTGTTCCCTGGCCTGTGCCCTTATTTTTTATTCTCTCATCTTTTCTATTAGGCTGTAAAGTTCCTTCAGGTAGCAAAAAATGTTTGAATGCAGCAACAAATGGCAGAATTCTTCACACAATAGCCTTTCAGCCATAGCCATAAAAAAATGTAAAAGGTAATGATTTGCTAATGATGTTAATCTTTAACCAAATTTAAAGGAATCAAATACATGTCTAAATTCCAACATCTTTAAATATAAAATCAGTGGGATAATAGTTATCAAGTTCTACTCTTGACTATGTATCCAGAGTTTTCAGACTTTGAATGTGCTAAGCAAAACTGCAGACCCCAGGATTTCCTCACAAGAGCTCAAAACTCAACAGTCATAGGAGATTCATGTTTTACCAAAAAGGAGAAACTCTGAGATCATTTTTTTAAAAAGGGAAAAATGAAATTCATTCTAGGGGGCATTTGTACCTGAGCATTAGTCTCCATTGTGTGTGTGTGTGTGTGTGTGTGTGTGTGTGTATAATTTACCTGGAGTTAGTCATTAAATGTTAAGACAATTATATCAAACTCTGAAATTTCTTCTTTATGAAGAGTGAAAATTAATTATAAAAAATTATTCCTGAATATAGGTTTCCTTTTTAATTGTAAAATGTAATATAACTCTGAACTGCTTATGTTTGAGATAGTCAAAATTTTTAAATCTTGTATTTTTCTCTTGTGTTAATGTTTGGCATGATATTAATATCTGTTACATAAATAAATGAATCATCCTATGACTTTATATACATAGACACACATGTGAATATTGTAACTGAAACATCTATGTCTCCATGTCTGTTTCTATAAATGCAATTAATACAACTGAGGACCAGAGGTGAAATTCAGATCTCTAAAATGCTCGTCCAGTTCCAGCATGAGCTACTGAGTAAGACTAAATTGAGACTCTTCCCCAAAATATTTTCTCACAAAAGAGTCAGTTCATATTAGCTTATAATGTCTTTTGTGTTTCAATTGTTTTATTTTGAACAACAAAATTCCACAGTACCCTG